GCCTCCAGGTATATGTGATCAGGAAATGGGCTTCCCTTTTCACTCTTCTTCCTGAGAAGTTTCAAGATACCACTGTTGGTCGTTTTGACGTAACTTAGGATTTAATTTTCAGCTTATTTCCATTTTTTGTCTGCTTGTCCCACTTCACAATCCCTGTTCAGGAGTTTTTTCTAGTTGTAAACAGTTCCGGGCTGGCTGTGGCCATTTGATTTTAATTGGACACTGTCTCTTTAAATATCGAGAAGATCTGTGCACATGAATAGTGGTACCCTCCAAGGGTGGGGCTGGGGTGCCCACTAGCTCAGGCACCCCTATAGCCACCAGAATGGAGGTGCGCAGACAGCAAGGGACCAATGAATAGATACCAAAAGAAATGAATGACCACACCTTTATCTCTGTGGTTCTGCCAGGTGTCTGTGGCCTCTCCGATTCTTCCCCCACGTGGTCTCACCCAAGATGGTGGCTCCTGGAGCTGCTGAGCTTCCTGGACTAGAAAGCAATAGATTTCTTGCTTCTGCCACAAATTCCCCCATCTATGAGCCTTCCAACCCTCTAAATATTCCTTTATATGTGATTCAAAGTTCTGGGACCATCCTCTGAGCCTGCTTGGTCGGGTATTTTGTGTTGTTATTGATGGAGCTCCTTTACTGCACTTCCACCCGATCCGCCATCTTGTTTGTTCTCTGTATGTACATTTTTATAATAGACATTAAATGTCTCATAATGAGTTGGAATTCTAAATTGTTGTACTAAAAGCAACTAATTTTATTATTTTGTAAACCATTCCCACCACTTCTTTGCAGAATTCTAGAAAGCAAAAAATACTAGTTTCTTGAACTGTAATTTGCAGAAAATTTATGTGGGTGGGAATGGCATTTGATTTTTTTTTTCTTTTTTTAATCTAGACAGTCATTTCTTCTTTCATAATGTTATGTAATTTAGGAAAAAAATCGGTTTTGATAAAATAAAAATTCATTACAGATTACTAAATTTGTAATATTCAGTCATTTGTGAATTGAATAATTGAATTAAACAATCTGTGAATTTAGATAGTTGGGAAAAATTTAATAAATGGCATGATAGATACTGTGTGAATAAGATTTCCAGGAGTTTGTCAATCCTACTCAAGAAAATAATGTTTTCTAAATCAATAATTTTTATGCAAAATGAAGATGCTTTATCCTTATGAAAATAAAGCCATATTTTCTTAAAATTAAAATTCAGGTACAAATTATACAACTTTTATTAAAATTGTACTTCACCTTTCATGAGATAATTAGAATTAATATTTTCTCTACTGTGAATATTGAACATATAATCTATTTTATTTATTCTTCTCTCTATAGGTGCATATCTTTTGCCATATTTAATACTACTTCTGGTAATAGGTATTCCCCTTTTTTTCCTGGAACTTTCTGTGGGTCAGAGAATTCGGCGAGGAAGCATTGGTGTATGGAATTACATAAGCCCTAAACTGGGCGGCATTGGATTTGCAAGTTGTGTAGTAAGTTTCCTGGTATGGTACATGGAATAACTTTTAGGGAACTTGGATCTATATTGTTTACAACTAAATGGAACCTCTGAGTGTATATTTCTAGTCAGCTCCTTAATTATTTTCTAAGAAAAGAACAACAGTACTTAAACATGTATTAATATCCCAAACCAATTATTTATTAATATAGCTCAGGTTTGTTAATTAATGTTACTAAGGACTGTAAGAAAATTAGTTTGTTTGGTACAGTGGTTAAAGTGCTTGACTGCTAATCAAAACGTCAGCTCTCCTTGGAAGAAAGCTGTAGCAGTCTGCTTCTGTAAAATGTTACAGTCTTGGGAAACCTATGGACCAGTTCTACTGTGTGCCTAGGGTAACTATGTGTCATAATTGACAACAGCAGGTTTTGATTTTGGGTTGAAGGACTATAAGAGAAATTAGCTTTTTAATGAAAGATAATTTGTTTCAAATAGAAAATATAATGAGTTAGATGGCATTTTTTTTTTTTTTTTCGCATTTCATCTCGTTATTTCAAAGGGAAGCATGGAGTTTTAATGAAATCATTTTTTATTTTGCAGGTGTGTTTTTTTGTGGCTCTCTACTACAATGTCATCATTGGCTGGAGTTTGTTTTATTTTTCTCAGTCTTTTCAGCAACCTCTACCTTGGGATCAGTGTCCTTTGGTGAAAAATGCTTCAAATACTTGTAAGACATGAATAATATAGTGTTTATTCATTGAAAGATCGTAAGATTGATGATGATCAAGGGAAAAAAGTTTCAAGTGCTTTTCTTTTTTTACAATAATAGGAAAATTATGTTTTCAAAATAGTCACCATACTAAACTTTCCTTACATTTTGGATTGACATACTCAGATATAGACCTTCAGCACAATCTAATTTTACTCTCTTCCCAAGTTATTTACTATGCCTCTGTCATTAGGATACAAGATTGTAAGTCTTCAGGCGTTAACTTTGTACATCCTTTACTTTGTACACCCTTTTGGTACCTTTTCATGCAAATAAAGAAAAAGTAGAATTTGGATTGAACTAACTGCTTTTATTTCTATTTGAGGAAATAAAGGACAATTTCCTATAGTAGCAAAGTTTGATAGATATATAATGCAAATTACACATGCAATTTTATGTTTTAAGTAGTCATATTTTTAAAAAGTAAAAAACAAGTAGGTGGAATATTTTATTAGCCCATTATATCCAGAATATTGTTATTCATCATAATATACAATAATTAACTTAATAATTTACATTATCTTTCTCATACTGTCTTTTAAAATCTGGTAAACATCTTACATTTAGGTTGCTTCAGACAAGCCTGTTTCAAAAGCTGAATGTGACCAGTTACTGCATTTGACAACGCTGACCTACCTACACGGTCAATCAGATAAACCTGATTTTGTTATAATTATGTTGATAAGAACAACACATATTCTTACTTCAGAAAAGCATAATAATAATTGTCAAAGAGAATGTATGAGGGGACTTCAAAAAGTTTGTGGAAACGTGGATTTAAGGATAAAAATTAAAAACATAAACTCCATCAGGGTCAAGAGACTTTTGTTAAGCGACAATACCAGCCATTTAGTCTATCACTAAGGAACTGAGGTCCTAGGAGTTTAGCCATATCAATACAGTACTTTTTGCACTATTGACGGAAGAAAATCAGTGCCCCTTAAAGATGTTTTAAGAAGTTAGAAGAGTCCAAATCAAGATGGTAAGGTGGATGCCTAATTATTTCCTATCAAAACTCTCACTAATTACTCTTTTTTGACAAGAGGAATGAGCTGAAGCATTGTTGGAGAAAGATTGTATTGAAGTTTTCTCTGGAGTTTTCTTGCTTACAGTTTTGGCTAGTTTTCTCAAAATACTCTTATAATAAGCAGATGTTATTCCAGAAAGTACCAAACATAATGCCTTGTTGTTGTTAGAGTGACTTTGAGTCAGTTCCAACCCATAGAGACCCTGTATAGGGTTTCCAAGGAGCAGCTGGTGAGCTTGAACTGCCTACTTTGCAGTTCAAATGGCTTTGCAGTCTCGGGCATTAACCCACAGCACCACACCAGGACTCCTATAATGCCTTGAATATCCCCCAAAATCTGCTGCCATGGCCTTTGGTCTTGACCAGTTGACTTTTGCTTTGAGTGACCACTTCTACCTCTTGGTCACCATTGTTTTTATTGTGCTTTGTTTTCAGGATCTAACTGGTAAAGTTCTCCTTTTACATTTCCACAAAGAAATGCTTCAGGATGTTGATCCCACTTGCTTAAAATTTCCATGGAAAGCTCTTCTCTTTGCAGTTGATCTAGTTGTAACAGTTTTGACACTTATTGAGAAGAAAGTTTGCTTAACTTTAGTTTTTCAGTCAGACTTGTGTAGAACCTGCTGAGAGGCTGTGGTGTTGTCTATTCTTCCTGCTGTTAATCTTTGGTACTTTTCAATTAGAGGATGAACAAGATTAATTATTTTCCTCACAAATGTTCATGGTTGCTGCTTCAGGCTTCATCTTCAACACCACTTATTCCCTTCTTAAAAACGAATTACCATTTATAAACTGCTGATTTCTTTGGAACATTGTCCCCCTAAATAATGCATACATGATTTCACCATTCTTTCTAGCAAGCATCAACATAAATTTTATGTTTGTGTTGCTCTTATGGGGACACTTTTCATACTGATGTCTATTGCTTAGTGTCTCCAACTAGATCCTCTTCAGATATATTATAACAAATTGGTATGAGCTTATTTTGGCAAAAAACAACAATGACAAAACAAAACCAAAAACAACAATCAAAAACACAAAACCCAAAACTCTGAAATCCATGCATAGTTTTTTCATAATATGTATTTTCCATGAGCATTTTGAAGACTCCTTATATTTCCATTCTTTTTTGACATTTAAAACATTTAAAAACTTTACTCATCATGAATTTAAGTGCTTTTATAAAATGGTGGTACATTACTAGAAAATGTGAAGAATTGAATTATGGACTTACTAAGTTTATTCTAAAACAATAATATATTATTTATTTCTTTACAGTTGTGGAGCCTGAATGTGAAAAAAGTTCTGCTACCACCTATTATTGGTACAGAGAAGCACTGAATATTTCCAGTTCCATCTCTGAAAGTGGGGGCTTAAACTGGAAGATGACCATCTGCTTGCTGGCTGCATGGGTTATGGTTTGCTTGGCTATGATCAAAGGCATTCAGTCTTCTGGAAAAGTTAGTATGTTAAAGCCCCTCCTGGTTCTATTTATTACCATTTCTGGGAACCACATCCCTTTTAAAGTTTGTTACAATTTCTGTGGAGTCCTGATGTGGTGCTGTGAGTTAATGCACTGGACTGAAAAGCCGGTTTGAGCCACAAGGTCAGTGGTTCAAGTTCACTGGCTGCTCCTCGGAAACCCTATACAGGGTCGCTATGGGTTGGAACCAACTTAACGGCACTTAGCAACAACAACAATCTCTATGGACAAACTGTGACTAATGATTCATCCTAAGTAGTTAATTAAATGGAGACAAAAGGTTGGTAGTAGTGCTGGGGCTCTGTACAATAAGCACTGGACTGCAAATAGCAAGGCTCTCTGTTAGCACTGAGCATTTACCTTGATCTTTATTTTTCTTCATGTTTTATGATTGAACATTCACTTTACCTTCTTAGTAAGCTGTATTAGAGTATCATCATGGAGTCTAGATCAGTATCAAGGAACAAATAAGAACCCAAATATTTGTAAAACTGAAAGAAATTCAGTCTTATAATTAGTGTGTTGTTTATATTCAGTGCTGTTGAGTAGATTATGACTCACAGTGACCCTTTATAGAGTTTCTGAGGAGTGACTAGTCGGTTTGAGCTGCTGACTATGGAGTACCACACCAATACTTGGTAATTAGTATAGAAATAAAAATAATGCAGAATGAAGAAATCCTCTCTCCTTAAGAAATTGTATACAGAAAGGAAATCTTAACTTTCTATAAATTTTCTTAATGTCTCTGTCAAAGTGGAGATTAGATATGCAAAGCTTAATAGGATACTGTCTTTGTAATTAAATTGATGAAACATAATTACAGCATAGCAAATACAATAATAGAGGCTTCTAGAAAGTACTTGAGAATATAAAGGCAGTGATTGAAGTTAATCTGGATTTGTGTGGAAGGCTTCACAAAGGCGGTAGTATTTGCTTTAAGGTGTGCTGGTTAAAGAGGAGCTCACCACAAAGTTCAGAGAGAGAAAATTTTATGCAGCAAAAATAACATGTGCAAAACCCAGATACACCTGAATTCTCCTGTATAGAGAGGAAAAAGCCTTTGCCCTCACAGAGCTGAAATTCCAATAAACAAATAAATACATTGCAAGATAATTTCAGTACTACTAAGGAGCAGGAGAAAGATGAAGCTCCTGTAAAGATTTACAGCTTCAAAAATCCTATACAGGTTTGGTGAGTTGGAACTGACTTGATAGCATAGAAACACCACCATCACCAAGGAGTGTAAGGAGTTGATGACACCTTTTTGGAGTCCTTGGGTAATTTGTTGTTGTTGTTGTCAGGTGCCATCGAGTTGGAACTGACTCATAG